TTTTAAGAAAAGAATGAATTCATTGAACAGCATGAGGTTTGCTGATACTCTGATGGTGCATATGTTATGACTTAAGAGTGTAACAAAAATGTATCTTCCAGGCTTTCAGGTTCCTCACAGACAGACCTTGGTCATAAAATTCAAAGCAGCAGCCAGATGGCTAATACCTGGAAGTGTTTCTGTGGAGTCTAGCAAAAGAAAACCTACTCCTTGGTAACACTAGGACATTAACACACTTGGAGTCATATATTACTAGCAACAATGGTATTTTGCATTTTGGCTTAGTTGTGCTTAATGGAGTCCTGCAATCTCTGTGATTCAGCTGCACATGTCAAATCAGGACACTTCCCAGTTCATCTGCTTGTGAGAAAATGCAGCAGCTTTATATAACCAGTTTGGTAGTGTACGGGAAGCACCTCAGATATTCTGTCTCCCCTCAATCCTCCTTGCAGTTTCGTTCTCTTCTCTCGTATTTTAATGTCACAGATTTAAAAAAAAAAAGCAAAAAACCCCAACAAATCCCCCTAAAGCCCCAAACTACCACAAAAAACCCAAACCAAACAGTGTGTGTGTTGTGTCCCCTTTCCTTCTTCCTCTCTTCTCCCCCCCCCCCCCCCCCCAAAATATTTGCACCCAGCTTACTTCTGTTTTCTGCTAGACAGGGAATAAACAGACCTCAGCAGGTTTGGTTGTGGTTTTTTTGTCACCCATCTGAAAGCATTCACCCTTTCAACAGCATGTCAGTGATGAGACAGTTGGAATTGGCATGTCATATCCCAAGTCAGAGAAACATTTCCCAGATCCCCCAGGAAAAGAAGGAAATTGGAAGCTGAGACTTCTGGTGCTTTTTAAAATCAGAATTGTATTTCTCCTAGCGGCTGGATATAAGATGGTGGAGTTCTTGTGTTATAGAAGGTAGTGACAGAATCTACATTAGAATTGAGTGTGACTAAGACTTTATCTGAAGTCTTAACACTATCTTCATTATACTTTAAAAAAAGCAATTTAAAAAGATAAAATTTTAATGCTGTCTGTTTGCTCTTAATTAGGTGACTTCTGTTTCTCAAAAGCATTTATGGAGGGTAGTGGATTTAAGAATTTTTCTCAGAAGTAAGCTTGTAGCTCAAGCTTTTGCATTTTAATACACACAATTCAGTGGTTTATAATAAAAGATGGTACAGTAACCATCTAGGCTGGCAGTCCAAAACATCTGTACCAGAACTCCATCAGTACCGTTAAAATCAGTAGCATGCAACCTAAAAGCATATACATCACCTCTTAGTTGAACAATAGCTGCCTTTTGTCGTTTGGCACATCAAATTTAGAACTGGTTTCTAGCTGAGTCATATCACAGCCCAGCTTGTCTAACCAAGAGACACTGTGCACTGAACCAGTTCTTCCCCAGCTACAGATACAGCTTTGAGAGCTGGAAGGATTGGAAGTGCAACTGAGACTGAAGGCAGATGATGCCACGTGCAGGAAAGTCTGCAAAAAGACAGGAAACTTTTCCTCCAACTTGTCATTTTCATCCTAATAGACTTGCCTGAAAGGGGCTTCTTTGCTGTATGGTTTTACTGAGTTCAGTCACTTTGCATCTACTTGAATGGTGCTCAGTGGATCTCAGTTTCCTTCCATGGTTCACCTGAGCCTGCTCAGCAAGTCTGCGCTAGAGGGAAGTCCATGGGTCTGAAGGAGCTATGTGCTTTAGTGCATTTGAAATTTTTTTAGATGTGGGAGAAATGTCTTTACCACAGTGATATTGATGCAGATATAAATGATATGCATGATATAAATGATATGCATGATATAAACCAGATCCAAGTACAAAACTATGAGGCCTAGTTTTGAAGAGATTGTCAGCCATTTAGATCTACATATTGTCAGAAGGAAGAGAAACAGACATTTGCTCCGTGGGTCTGTCTCTGAACTTTTTATTGACTATAGTTTTTTTGACTCTATAAAATACTTGTGCTGTGTTATGAAGCAGGTTGCTGTACTGTTATCTTGTGACGGGGGGGGGGGGGGGAAGTGTGTATTAGTACGTAAAGTTGATGGACATTTTGCTGGTGAAGTTAACAATGTGGTTTTCACTGACAGGGCAGGCTGTACAGACATTGGCATCAGTGAAAAGTAGGCTCTATAAAAAATACCATCTAATCCATTCAGACACTCATTTATATAAAGATCTGTTTCATGAGGGAGGTTTCAAGTTTAAAAAAAATAGTTTGGCTTGGAACATTCCAGTTCATTTTGAAATAGTTTGCTTCCTGTCTATTCTGCTTCTGCCACACTTTTCATCTAATCCTGCGTTGTCAGTTTGTGACCTTTCCTGGGTCTGACAGCAGTATGTACGTACCAGTGTGACCTCCTGTGTAACGTTGCTTCAGCTTTTGGTGACCCTTACAAAGGTAACTATTGTATGCCAGTGAGTTGTCATTGCCTCTTTCTTTTTTCTTCATTGCTAATGCCAGAAAGGTGTTTAAGTGTCTGGAAATCATGCTCTCTTGCATGTGTACAGCTGGAGGAAGCTCTTCTAGGGTCTCCTGCTGCCACAGGCAACCATACCATTTTTAGAATCTGATCAGACATCACGTTGAAACAAATTAGGTTTATACCCTCAAAGATTTGTTTGTTTCTAGTTTCTGAATATATGTTCATTCCTTTTCCCATTTGACCTAACTTTAGACTTTTTAAAGTTAGATGCTGAGGTCTGATCTAGCTTTACCAGTAGAAGAAGGCACCTCCAGTCATTCATCTGATGTATATTAGTTGTCTATTTTACAGTGACACTAAATACCCTCAGGATGTATTAGGTTCTCTTCACTCCTGACTGATAGGCTCAGATTTAGACATCTGATTCAGGGACTTCTACAATTAGATAGGTGAATCCTAGAATAAACACCAAAAGGAGTTGGATTAGCAAAGCCTGTTGTTTACATTTGTAAGCATCAGGAGGAGAGGGAGATCAGTGAGACAGCCGTGAGACTAATGGAGATAAATGCAGACTTTCACTAAATTTTCTATGCAGTAATAAACTTTCTGGGGTGGGAGGAGGAAGGATTCATATAGTTCTGTTACTAACATTCAGAATTGTATTTACTTATTCTTTTAGCAATCTCAAAAATATTCTCCAAGAGTCACACAATATTGATTATTAAATGGGGTGGCAACTGATATCTGTCACATCAGGCAACATCAGCACATAGGTTGCTATTTGATGTTAGAAATCATAGTGGGGATGTTATCTTTAGGTAGAATAGCCAGCCTCTTTTGCACAATGAAAGAAGCACCCAATAAGGAAGGTATTTGTTATATTTATTTTGAATACAGCTGTATAAAGTTGTCAGTTTAAGACCATTTTAATTTAGATGGTGAACAACGAAGAGTCATTTGTAGGTGGGAAAAAAGAGCCAATTTGAGCAAGTTTGGTTATATGGCATTAAGGTACAAATTTTAGGATTCAGTAAACTGCCACTTATGCAGGATTGCAGTGGATGTGAAAAATACTGTCAGAAAGCCAAATTCAATCACTTCTCCTTTCTCTAGTTTCAATTAATAGAATAAAAAAAGAGGAAGTTCTGTAATTTTTTGTTCCTGTTCAACCTAGAGAAGGATTATTAAGAAATGTTGCAGGAGAAGTAATAGACTGACCATAAGACACATTTCTGTGATTTAATGTCAGATTAAGGCCATTCTTGGACAGAGTTTGTACAACTGATTTGGGTGTGTATTGAGCATGTTTAGCAGTTAAGAGAAATAGCATAAGAGAAAGTAGAGTTATTTGCGTAGAGTGTGTGTATATGTGGGGATACCTGTTTGTAAATATACAGAACAGTATGGTTTATACATTGCACATTTTCTAGAGAAGAGGGAGTAATCAGTGAATTGTGTGTTTTGAATGATTTCTATTTTTCTACTCTCCTCCAACACATTCCAACATGGTAATGATTCATGTCAGTAAGCTGTCCTTCAGCTAATAGAGGCTCAGCAGCAAGCCTTGGCAACTTAATTTAGGGAAGTTCTCTCATCTGCTCTGCTACAAATCGTATATAAATTAGCCAGCAGATGTGGCAAACAGTTCTGGAACTGAATCTTTTCATTTACCTGTCTTAAAACTGTGATGTCAGAAGGCTCAGGTAAGAGGGTTTACTCTTATTCAGAGTTATGAGTTCAAGCCTCTCTCCAGTCATGCATCCAACGTCACGTCCATCCTGGACAAACGAAAAAAAAAGATGGCTGGTAACATAATTTCCAGTACCTGGTTGATTCTCAAAATTAGGCTGCCTTAACCACACTCACCCAATGACGTACCTAGCATTGGGGGTCCTTTGGGATGGGTTTTATTTAATCCGATATTAGTGCATAAATATGCGCCTTACAAATATGTGTGTATACATATATAACTGTGTATGTATATATGTATATGTAAAAGAATATATATTCAAAAAAAAGTGTTATTTGTACACCTGTGAATGAATTATAAAGAAAAAGATACAGGATAAAGTAATCAGTTGAGAGTTATTTCCATATGAGCAAAATCCACAAGGTTTTGGATCCCTTTTGGATCCCTTTCCCATCCCTTTATTGTCAGGATTTGCCTGTACCATGTATATGGAGTATTAGCATAGAAGAGAACTTGTAGCAGATACGTTTGGAAAGATCCTCTGGGTAAAGTTTACCCATCCTGTCACTAGGAAGCACAATCTATTAGTTAAATTTTGGCTCCTGAGTAATATTGCAGAAAGGAAAAAATCCCCACAATTTCTTGTCATTTATTAATTTCACTGAATTATAAAAATAATTGAAAGAAATAATATGCACCAGAAATCTTTTCTCCACACTCTGTTTGTAAGTTAATTCTGATCAGATATACTAAGCATTGTAAACATTCCAGTTATTTTAACAGTGCTCAAAGAATAATCTTCAATTGTTTCTCCTGGCTTGTGTTTGGCATGGAATTTTGTTTTCATTTTACAGTTTCCCTGTTTTATTTCCACCAGGAGAGAGAAACAGAAGAAGAAGATGTCAGGTGGCTTTCAGTTACATGCCTCAAAATGAAGATGAACTGGAGTTAAAAGTTGGTGACATCATTGAAGTTGTGGGAGAGGTGAGGAGATCTTTAATGGAATATGCACACATGCAGTTCTAACATATCTTATGCGTGTGAAGCTCTTAGATACAGTGTGTTTTAAGACATAATTTAAACCAGACATTTTTCTTCTCTGCTATATGGATGTGTCTGGTTTGAGTTATTGTTGGGATTGAGGGGATGTGATTGTTTGTATGGATTTCATGTTTTTTTTTTTTTTCCCTGTAGGTTTTACTTGATCAGTTGATACTTCTGAGCTCTGTTCAGGGAAAAGCTTGAAGTCTGTGCTAAAGGGTTATTGAGGTTGTATCTCCAAAGAACCAAGGTTATATAGCAGAAAAAGCTTTTCCGAATTTTAGTAAGACAGCCACAGGGAAGAATTATCTTTACGGAGTTAAACACTTTTAAGAAATTTACTTGAAGACCTCTGAAGTTCAGCCATTAACTTAATGTTCAGCAGCTTTTGTCTTCTATGCCTGCAAATTTAAACTATTTCATTTTAGTCTAATCAGTAAAAAAAACAAACCAAAACCAAACAAAAAAACAAACTAACCAACAAGCAAAACAGTAAAAAAAATACAAATAAAAAACCCCACCCTCCCCATCCTGGTTGTAGGATCAGGGAATGGTGTTTGCTCCCAGTACCTTAGTTTTGTTCCATTAGAGATTTTAGAAATACCTTCTTTAGCTTAATAGCATAAGGACCGAAAGTCAGAATGTTAACATGAATCCTTTAAGTAGAATGCATTCAAACTCATTTAGTCTTTATTTATGTAGATTTAAAAAGATCTAAGCCTTTAGTCTGCACAAACAGCCAATAAAAGGTGTGTTTCAGCTTGTATCATTTATTTGTAGGACTTTTATTCCCTGTGACTCAGCAGCTAATAAGTCAACATTTATTTTCTTGTCAAGGATATACAATTAGTTTTCTTTTTCCTGCATCTGTCACTTAAGAAATCAGTTTTAAAAGAATATAAATTCTGCTGCAATCTGTATGACATCCAGCATTTTGTTATGAGAGATTTAATTCTCAGATCTGAATGTAAGAAGCTTAGTAATCACTGGTTTTCATTTAACCTAGCTTCACATACCAGCTTTGCATATCATTCTTCCTGGAATCAGATATGATATGTCACTTAACTAGCCTTATTCTGTCTGTGAGCAGAATTGTAATGGGGAATGTCAAAGCTGTAAGATATTTAAGAGCATATTTAAAAGACAATGTAAAGCCAATATTATAACAAGTTTCATGGCAGCATGAGCTGTTTTCATTGCACAATTTGAAGTACATTTGAACTTACATGGCCACACAAATACCTTCCATCAGCTGGCCTACTTAAAAATTTTAAGTCTATGTCTCTCAAGAGTAAAGTGATGGAATAAAATCCCTTCCTAGTAGCCAGCCAGCGAATTAGCTCTACCAAGTGAGTTGTATGATTAAATAATTTAGATGGGACAGTAGACTTCTCTTATGAAATGCATCTCTTGTCATCTTATAAATATAAACAACTTAATTATAAATAACAGGTTTATTTAAATCCAAATGAGACTAAAAATGTTGGCATTAAAATTGAAAGCTGTAGAAAAACTATGAAACATTCCTGTACTTGCATTTGTGTGCTTATAGTTAAGGGTATGTCTTTTTGAAACCTACTTGGATTGCTGATTACAGACTTTATAGTCTTAAACTCATAATTGTACCTTGGATTACTACTGCTGAAGAAAGCACTGACAACTTGCAGGTTCTAAGGTTTAAGAAAATAAATAGCCTAGGGCTGGTTTTTTTTTTTTTGATTGGCAGTCCTAAATAATTTTACACTGGAATTAGTTTTATTGTACTACTGAAGGGGATTGCTCATAGCTAGCTTCAGCTGCTGGCCATAATTAAATGCTGAAGAATAACTGACACAGGTGAGGCTATGTCCACTTTGACCTTATGAAGTACCCTGTTCTGTCACCTACTGAAACGTAATCTGTGCCTCAGGCACCATCTGGTACATTTATGCGATCCAGGGCATTGTCTGGCTCTTCTGGGTGGAACTGGATCAGCTGGTGAGAGAAGGTGAAAAGAGAAAAAATGATCAGCAACTCAGGAAGTGATTTTGTGTGAACTTTATTTTCCGTCATGGTTGATACCAAACAGTTGATTTTGAATCGTTGTTGTTGCTTCCTCTTCTGCCCTTACTGTAATAGTGTTAATTCCTTGAAAAACTAGGCAGAATTTTTCTTTTGAAGCAGGAACTTTATTTGATGTAGAAAGCTGTACCAGCTAGTGTACTGATTTCTGCTTATAGGTGATGTCGCACAGAGAGTCATTATATTGAAATAGGATTCACACTGTTTATGTCATTATATGATGTTTCTTATTTCAAATGATAAATGTTTGATGTGAGTGCCTTATTATTTAAAAAATCTGTCTTCCTCAGTTGTGAAAATAGAGATTTCTTTTCAAGGGCCAGAATCATAATGTGTTACTGTACAAAAATACCTGAAACAGCTGCAACAAAACCTGTCCCACATAGGCAACAGCTGGGGAGAGTTCTTGCAAAATATCAGTTTTGTTTATCATTACTCTATGATAGCATCTTCAGCATTATTTACAGTGGTTCAGTGGATAATTAGAACATTAACAGTCATTCACTTTCCATTTCCAGTTGCTCCTTTCTCTTACCCCATCTTTTTATTAATGAGTAGAAGGTCTCAGATTCCCACAGGTAGTATTTTAATTGTATCCTCCTAAAAAAAAAATTTCATCAGCTGAATTAATTTGTTTTAAATTGACTTAGATTAATATTTTCAAATATCTGTGGATTTCTGTTTAGTTGAAAATAAATTAATTTCTAATGACTTACAGCAAACTAAAATGGGTATTGTTTAGATCAAAATACTGCCTATATAGCTTTGTGTGTATATTTATCAAAAAATGTGGCAAAAATATCACTTATTGTTGACAACTCATTAAACTTTTCTTGTTGCAAAGAAAAGCAGGTTCCTGATGTACTGTGCTAATTTGGCTTCATCCTTAAAGAAATGGATTCTGTTCCTCCTTGAGCCCCTGGAAGTTCACTGCCTCCAGCAAAGGGTTAGCATAAGGGAAGTGAAGTCTTTCCAGTTGCCTCCATCAGTGCCCAAGTATGTTTCCCCAGATCCCCAGTGAAAACAGGTTACACTGATACCAGATGGTGACATGCTGAGGATGAGGATGCCTTCCCTTCTCCCGCCTCTGCTTGCAGGGTGATAACCAACCTCTGAGGTGTAGTAGCCCCACATCCTTCTTCCTGGTGCCAACAGGCTGGATAAGATACTTTTGAAAGGATTTATATGTCTGTGGTAATGGTAGATACTATTTGGAATTCCTGTTGTGGTAGAAGTGGTTTGGAGCTGTACAGTGAGTGAACTGAAACACCTGCTACAGCAAGTGTGAGTTCTGAGACGCTAGGCTTGTCAACACATAGATATCCTTGGAGGCTGTGTATGTTCAGAATTCACAGTACCTTCCTATTTGTTCTAAATAGTTAGAAATTAATTATAATAAGATCAAGCATTCATCCCAATAGATAAAATGCTTGTTGTTAAACTACAGGTTTCCATAACTACACAGACACTGATACCCATGAGACATCAATTAGCATACTTAAATTAAAAGTACATTTGAAACTAACAAGAGAAGCATTTTCATCATTGTTTACGCTCACATTTAATGTGTGATTGATAGATTTTTGCTTGTCATCTTCCGAGCTCATTAGCTGTAACTCTAATTACAGTTGTCCCAAAATAAAGCTGTAACTAATCATCTTATTAAATGCAGATATCTGAATTCCAATTATGTTTCATCCTTAGACTTTCATGGGATGCAGATAATTAACCTGTAACATCAGAGTAAGGACACTTGGCATGTCCTTCGACAGTTCTGAGCCTCCTTTCATTGAGGGTTACTCTATTGTCATGCTGCTGTATAGCTTGTTACATCCTCCTGCTGAGAAGTCAGCTTTCTGGCAATGTGAGGTGCAGGAATTTAAGTTCACAACTAAGTTTGAGACTTGCTGTAGTACTGCTGAGCTTATTGTTTGGCTTTTACTTGATAGGCCATATATTATGTGATCAAATACTATAGGTAACTCATTTGAAATTTTACAAATTCAGTTTGTGCTTTTACAAATCTGTTGCTCCTTCTGGGCAAGATTGGTGGGGTGATATTGTTGTTATGGGATAAAGTGGTTCAACCCATTTCCAAGAACAAGATAAACACTGGGGATTGAGCTGGACTTCCCTTACAGTAACTTATTTTGACAGCTGTAGAGTTGAAAGGGGAATATCTGATAGTGGAAAGGGGATGATCTGTGCCACAAGTACAGAACCATACAACACTCAAGAAAACAGCTGGGAATGGATCCTGCGGTTCCATGTCTCCCAGTTACTTTTCTGTGAAAAGCTGTGGTCTTTTTCCTGCTCCTCTTCCAACAGGTGATTCACAAGGACTTCTAAGACTACTGCTTGAATAGTTCATGTGGTATGAGGCACTTTTTTTGTGGAAATAAGGGTATAAATACCTTTGAACAGTTTATAAGGTCATTCCAGTTCTTTGTGATTGCCTTCTCTGTTTCTCAGTGCCTTACGTAAGAAGATCATGTTTAAAAAAACCAACAAAAACGTAAACCACAAAAAAACCCAAACAAAAAAAAAAAAACAAAGCATATTTTGACATTGTAAAATAAAAACCTCTGAAGCTGAAAAGATACCTTAATACAAGGTGCTTGTGCAGTTTTTTCTTCTCTTCTGCGCCAGAGTTATCAAACAGCTTCCAGGTGTGCTGTAGCAGAAGCCCAAGGCTGGTTGATATCTCATGGGTTTGGCTCTGTCAGAATGCACTCCCAGAATAAGCCATCAAGTGGCACTGTAAGCACCATTTTCTGTGGTCTTGTTTCCAAAATGGTCTTTTCCCATTGGCAGTAAACGTAGTGTTTATTTTACCTCTTGGGAATCCATGTTTTTAATTTCATTTCAACATTTCAGCTTTT